TGTTAATGATTTATTGGTTTAATGGTTTATTGGTTTAATGGTTTACCTAACGTGTTTCGAGACAACCCCCATGTTTCGAAACACACAACACACTTGCAACTCATATTACACAATGGAATGCATGCCGAATAACATCATGTGACATCATGTGTGTAACGCATATTATATACTAGGATACAGGTCGTGCATCTGTTATAAAGAAAAGTGTACGAAATCCAGGGGGGGGAAACCCTTCTACCCAACTAAAAATTGTGCGGCCTGCACTCCTTTAATGGCCTGACCAATCACAACGTTATCCTTTGCAATGCTTGCATCTTTTTGTATATGCATACGTATAGAATGTAATGCATCCCAATGCCCCATTCTATCTGCTAAGGCCCATATTTTGGAAGGAAGGCATCAGCGGCGTCGAAAAAATGACACATTGTTCGAACACATGTATCTTGCAGATTTGTGGCTTCAAGCTGTCAAGCCGTTTCAAAAGTTGGTGTTGAGCTTCCTGTGATGGCCTGGTTGTACCATTTCGGTGCTGGCAAAGCTGATGGCCGTGCCGACATGAAAAACTTGTTGGGCGGCAAAGGCGCCAATTTGGCCGAAACCCGTCAGTGTTTGCGCATTTTTGCTCTGCGTGCTATTGGTATGATTGAGAAGTTGAAGCCTTGCCGACGTAAACTATTTCCTCAATTGACGTAAGCAACAGCAGTCATGTTTATCAGCCATTGGGAACACAGAGTCCGCCCAACTTTATTACTAGATGACCCAGGAAATGGCCTCCATTGGACTTCCGGTGCCTCCCGGGTTCACAATCACAACGGAAGTGTGTACGCATCTGGGTTGCTGTCAAGCAACCTCACATGTTTTATGTGGGAAAAAAGGCTTTGATTATCACACATTAATTTTCCATTTAGTTTTTTATGTGTTGTTACATCTGATTCTCTTTAAGTTCCCTAATGCCAGCCCAGGCATTATTACAAGAACAACAAGACCTACCCGTTGGATCTGCAAGACCAGGTGCCTAACTCTCAACAACTTGAGCTAAGGGCTTAGGATCGACTGTTGGGTTCGGGGTTTATGGCTCAGGGTTGAGGATTTAAGGTTCAAAATGAACCTTGCAGATGAGTTGCTCTTGCGTTTCGTTTGTAGTCCTCATGATCCCTACGCTCGCCAAAGATATGCCCATGTTGCGACATTAATGGTTGTTATACGGCTGTATATATATATATATTTGTTTGTCATGTGCACAGCTTTTCAGTGGATTGTTGTCGCTGAGGAAATTTCTGGGGCCTTGAATCTGTGAACATGAAACTTTGACAAGCAAAGAAGACACGGGGCCATGTATGGGAGTCCTTGTACATGGCAAGGTTTTAATCGTCTCCGTCCAAGCCTCGCGGGACTCTGGCTCCTCCCAGACCCCAAACCACAAACCGTCCGCCCTAAAAGCCAAATGCTAAACAACCAGCTGGATTGGCAGTTGGCAAAAGGGCCGAGGAAAAAAAAAACCGTCGTACATCCTAAAGCCTAAGCCCAACTTCTATGCCGCCAGGTGATGAAGGCGCTGGCATTGGTAGAGACGAGGGCGGGCCGTGCATTCGGGGATGCTGACGCCGGGATGAGCTATCCATGTTTCGGGTGTGAGGTTTTGGGTCAGAGGTTCTAGGGTTTTAGGAATGTCCTGACAGCATCTTTAAGTTGCTGTCGCGGTAATATGAGGTTTGTTTAGGGAACATGCAAGGACTTATTTTCAGTCCCACGAGGAGTAGATCGAGGACTGATGCAGGTTTATCATGCAACGGAGTCTGAAGAGATTGCCAGTATTCTTCCATATATAGCAGAAGAGATGGGCTTGTAGGTCTTTTCCAGAATGTTGCAGAAAGCATAGTATGATTCAAGACTTTATACTGATTACTCGGCTGCTGAGGGCTGGTGCTTTCTTCTTGGGACTTGTGCTTAGCAAGCATGCGGCGCTGGAGATTTCACACTGGTTTAGTATCTAGGGGATGGGTAATCAGCTGCGTTGGGGAGGCATCAAAGCCCTTTGCACCAACCTTTCCTTGCTGCAGTCAAGAATACCATTCGCGAAAGCCCCTGACTTCTGAAGCCCAAGCCCACCACACTCCCCAAGCTAGCATAGAAGCTTAAGCAGGACCTAGAAAGATTACAGTCCTTCAACGAATGGGATTCTATCAACTTCCATGTTTGTATGGTGGACAGCAACACTGGCCTTCACCTATATATCATATGTATGATATACATATGTATATAGATGATGTGTTGGTGTGCATACAGTCGTCTACGGAACCCTCCGTGCACCCTGCGATCTATTCCCATTTTGAACCACACACTTAGGAGAACCCTCTTTTGGTTTCTGTGCGCTCGGGATCTCGCGCGTCCATGCCTGGCAACCGTTTTGCATTGAAGAAATGTGAAGAGGGCTGATGGGCTTTGGACTTTGACGTGGAGTGTCTAGGGCTTGTGTGGGGATCATGGGGAAGTGTATTTTGAGCGGGGTTGTGTGGTTTCAATCTGGGCGCCCTGAATTTTTGAGAAATACATGCCGGGCCCATGCCTGTGCGTCCAGTGTCCCATTCCAGACTGTTTTTCAGGGAGCTGGAGATTTTCTGTACGTATCCCCATTCAAATGGAAACCTCGCTCCTGCATCTCGAAACTCCGCAGCCCTTAACCACAAACCTGGAAGCTTGAAGCCAAATACCCTGGTGTGAATGTTCGAAGTAAGGCATGATGGATACCGTCCTCAACCTCGGCCTTAACGACGTCACGGTTGAGGCACGCACTTGGTTGGTTGGAGTCTACGGTTTCATCTTTGGGGGGTTCTAGTAGTCTTTCTCTTGTTGCGATTGGTTTTCCTAGCTTGCGTATCTCCATATTTTTTGAGCTGCATTGTCGGTCACTGTTCTCAGCATCGCTACAAGATTCCTGAGTCTGAACATTGTTGTGGCTTCGACTTGCGTTTGTGATTATCCAGCATGCAGCTGGGTCTTAACTCTTAAATCTTAAGCCCTGAGCTGAAACCTTAACCTGAGATCCTGAACCCTAAGTCCTGCAGCCTTGGGCTCAAGTCCTGATTCCTAAGCCCTAGCCCGTGAAAACCCTAAGTCCTGCACCCCAAGCCCAACAGCCCTAATTTGGAGGTCCTGAGAGTTTTTTGCGTTTTGCATCTGAGGCCTTGGCCAAGCAGTCCGGCGATCGCCGATTCGCCTTCGACAGTTACAGGCTTGGGGAAGGTTTTCATGATTTGGGGCCTGGTCCTAAGGATGGCTTTCATGTCTTAGGATCCTCAGAGAGCGTTTAGGGCAGGGTGGTCGAACGGTGAAAGTTGTGCTACTGGTTCTGCCCTGGGACCCTGCCTCTTGACGACCCCATGACAGGCGCTTTGTCCAGATGTACTCGGCAGCTCGGCGAGCAATTTTGGTGATGCACAACTCTTCTGATTCAAACAAGACAGAGGCAGTAATGACAATCATCTTGCTACTATCGCTGAACAGGGACTGCAATTGATCGGTCTTCTAATTCTGTTCAAAGCGTACACCGCCTGATCTACGAATCACCGTCACAATTCTCAATGCTGGCGGGGGTACATGCATGGTGTCAGTTCATACTATGCTTTGACCCTTTTGCCCTAACCCCGCCTGGAACAGTGAATCAGTAAATACCTAAAAGCCTTGAAACCTAAATCCTAGCCCAGACACCTTCAGCCCTATAACCCCAAATCCCCAACCCTGAATCCCACGGCCCTCAACACAAAGCCCAAAAATCTGTGAAGGCTTGAAATTCCGAACCTGAAGCCTTTTTGCATTTGAAAAACGCTTTAGGATGTGGTCCTTGGCGTGGAGCTAAGCCAGTTCGAGAAGCTCTTGGAAAGGGCCAAGCAGAAGCGAGGTGTCAAGAAAGACCATGAGCTTCTTCCCGAGGACATTCCTTTCAACAAGGTTTGCCGCATTCGGGAAGTTAATTTTTGCGAGCTCTTATTGTGGCAAGGAATCGTCTTACGTCTGTGACAGGGGTGCAACGCTATTGGCCTCTAGTTGTGACAATCTCACAGGCGTCACCGTCGCACCTGCACTTGCATGATAAGCCCTAGATCTAGATTGCAAGACCCCTCAAGGTCTCAGTTGAAAGAGTTTTCACCGAGGACCTTGAGAAGCTGGTGAAGGACTACAAGTCCTGTGTGCAGCTGGAGATCGGTGAGGAGTTCCCCCAGGATCCTCAGATCTTACCCTTTAAGCGGTAGGCTTTAGGGTTCAAAGTTCTTGGTTTCGCATGTGGTACTTTGGGGTTCATGGCTTTCCAAGTTTAGGGTTGGATTTGGACTTTAGGATTTGGAATTTGAGGCTTCAGGTGCAGAACATGGGGTGGTACACAGGATTTGGATTTGGGATTTGGTATGAACAGCTGGAATTTTGTGTCACGGAACTCTAGGAGGGAGTGGCCCTTGGCAAGGGACTTAATCGGGTATATAGGGGGTTCTGCAAGGAATATCTTTGGATACAGGCTGTGGGACCTAAGGGTCCCTTCTAGGGGTCCTTCCGATGAGCTCTTGATTCCGAGAGCATTGTTTTATGGATCACTGGCTCAGCAACTGCATGCCCGGTACCCCATGTCTGTCAGCAGCACTATAGGAAGCAAACCAAAACTAAACCAAATGGGACAAACCAACAATTCTTACCCTAGAGACCCCAAACCCTAAACCCCTTCATTCTCTTATGCTTGAAGCTCTAAGCTCCTAAACGATCCAAAGCTATCGGCCAGGATCCCAAACAGCAGCTCTGGGGCGCCATTGGTGCTGTGTTTGGGTCTTGGATGAACCAGCGAGCCAAGACTCTCGGATCCCAGATAGGCCTTTCCATGGTTCGTTCCCTTGACCTACTAACGGCGTGTAGGGAACAAGAAAAGGCATCAATAATGTGGAGCTCAGCTGGGGTGTTGGTTAGAGAAGCTTTTTTGCTTGTGGGAAACTTTCCGCTATATGCCTGTTCACATTCCTTACAGCGGCCCTGTCACCCACTTATCCCCTCCAAACCTCAAGCACAGAAAGACACAAGGATGCAAACTTCGTGAGCCCAGGACCTACCGCGAGTTGCATGACATCCCGGAAGAGTGGGGCACAGCTGCGCCTGGATGCATTTAGGAGAACTGTAGAGGGATTTTTCGCTTTACATGGGTTATACTCAAGTTATAGGAGGAGGTATGAGGAGGTAGCTGAGTTCTCCTCTTCCAACCGAACCAACCGGAACCTGAAAACCTGCCCTGCAGAGGCTGCTGTCCTCTAAGACAGGGTCATGTGTGCTCATTCCCTTGAGGATTGTCCTGAACCATGAACCAGAAATCCTTCTTGTCTTCTGTGCCTCAAGACCTAGACCCCAAGCCTCAAATCCTACGCCGCAATCGGCCCCAAGCTACCCAAACCCCATAGACCCAAACTCTAAGCCCTTAGCCCCCAACCATCAGACCAAAACCTCCAACCCATTTTACTGCTGTGATGCTGCGAAACTTACCACAAAATCCTGAGGTGAGCGTTCAAGCTATGGTTTTCGGAAACATGGGCAACTGGGGCAGAGTTGGGTATGGAGGGTTCCTCAAAGTACCCTTATGGCTTTGGGTTTAGGTTCAGGGTGCAGGGCAGGCAGTTTAGTGCCTGAGGAGGGGCCCAAATATTGAGCCGCTTAGGGAATTTGGGGTGCAATGTAAGAAGGACAAGCGGATCATGAGAGTCCCTAAGCACCAAGGGTTCTGTAAGGCTCATTGTTTCAGGAAGCTTACATAATCTTGAGACTTGGGTCGGGGCTTTGGGTTTGTGCCCTAGAGTTTAGAGATTATGAGGGAATGTTGCGTTTGGGGGCACTCTTGTGACTCAAGCATCCTATTCCCTATTTAACGTCTGGAAGTTTCTGAGGAATTTCGCGTTTCCTGAATCCTTACCAGGGATTTAGCAAGCGAACCTATGATTGGCATCCTGTTTTTAGATTCTGCTCCAGGCTGATTGTAAACCGTTGAACCAGATTTCTAGATACTGCCGTATCCTACCATGTGGTTCAGGTAGCCTGTGCTTCCTTATCTCCGCCGAAGCGGCATGAGCTTCGTGTGATCCACGTAGAGTCACAGGAATGAAATCAAAAGCCCAAACGGTAGCCGAGGCAACGACAGTGCCACAGGAGTGGCATTCACTCGAAACCCATCGAATCTGCAGCATGGGTTCATTCAACTTTCTATTTGGTGAATACTGAAGTAGCCGAAAAAAGAGTGGGCAGAACCCTGAAAGCAAAAACGCTGAACGTCAAGAACATTGTCCTGGTAAAAGAGCGCGCAGAAATTTCATGGAGCTGTCCCTGGCACCCGAAGCTCTAAGACCCAGGCTGCTGAAAGCGCATGCTTTCGCCTAAAGGTTAATGGGTTGTTCAAAGCGGGGCTAGAAGTAAGGTCACCGTAGTAACAAGCTTCTTAGGGCGCCACGCAGACTTGCATGTTTGCCGAATGTTTCGAATACGGACATTTATGTTTATGATACCGCCGCCTCCATAACCTGTCGATGTAGTGGTTTTGGTTTTCACTTGCACGCCCGTCTCAAAAACAGCAAAGTTCAGCTATGATTCAATCACTAGACACAAATTCGGGATAAGACGGACAATTTTGATTCCGCCGATTCCGGGAAAATTCTTTTCACACAAGGTCGTGCCGGTTTGCTTCCAGATAAATTAGATCTGATTAGCTTCAAGTTGGATGCTCGCATGCCCGGAAGACTTTCAATCCTGTACTTGTTGTTGAAGTGGCGTTTTCACCAATGCCTTGGGCTCTTCAATCTCCAGGCAGATCTTCATTCACATATGCCGAGGCTGAGTAGAACTGTACTAGCACCTAGCTCAAGATGAGTTTGCATTAAGCTACGATGCTATCACTAGCACTGTGTGGAAAACCCTCAATTGCATATCCAACCTTGCTAAACATCATTTAAGGGGGGCTGACATTTCATCAAAGCCTGATTAAGTCAAGTAAAGTAGGGGTGCTCCATAGAGCTGGACATGAAATAGCGCAGCCCCAGTACATCGTGATATTGTTATTCATAGCTATAGCCATCACAGTGCCATCTACAAAAATCGCAATGGAAAAAAAGTTTTCCCTCAACTGAAATGCTTGAAGATTGCTTCCCATTTAAAGGTTGTGGCTCTGCATGGGTAGTAGGAGGCGATCAGAATCCGTGTGCTTGTGTACGCGAGGCATGCGAAAGCGTCCGCAAGCGTCCGCGAACGTCGCAGACTGACCGGAGCAGATCAGCGCGGGGATCCTACTGCCGTCGTCCTGAGGATATGTGCTTTTGTCGGTGTGGAAATGACCAACTGTCAGGGGTCGTGCATGTTGGGGTCGCGATCCTTTTGTTTGTCATCGTTTTCCAATTTGAATACCTGCCCCATGTGTTGAAAGGTGTCACCGAAATCATGTCAGTTTCAGGATCCCTGTCAGCGTCGTGTTTATCTGCGTCACGCATCCGCGATGCCAACAAGCATGGGGATCGGGACGGGCATGTCAGGGTTGCACTCCTTGTAACTATCCTCGTTCTTGAATTTTCTTATCTTTGTCGAATGCCAGCAGTGGAAACTGTCGAAAGGACGGGGTTCATGGGTGTGGCTTAGCCGCCGTCGTTTTAGTACCCAATACCTTCATCGTGCGTCAAAAATGCCGATGGTCACAAGTTGCGATCTTTGTAAATGGCGATTGTCTCTTGACCCTCATAACATTGTCACGTGTAGTCACAGGGCTGAGGTGATTGGACCTTACTGGATTCCTGGCCTGGCTGGCTGGAAGAAAGGACACTTTGAAAAGAAGTACATAATCGCATCCACCGAAAGCCTGCCTTTAACAGAATTTACTTATCATACCTTTGAGGATAGGTAAGTCGTGAAGCGTGTCGGTCTTGATTTCTATTTATACACATGTCACATGTATCCCAATGTGCCCACATATGCTCCTGACAATCCACGTAAACCTGAAACAACGCCCGAGGAATGGCGAAAAGGAATTCTTCGGCGAGTTCCTGGTCCACGCGCAGGGCGAGGATGGGACTTCCCAAACAGATTTCTGATGGATATGAAAGGCTCTCAAAGGGGCTATATGGGTGATGTAGGGTTCGCGGAACATTGTATCTCAAATTGTAGGGGTGTTGGTTTGAGGGTGGCTGGCGGAAATCTTGCAAACGCACGGTGCCTCAAGCCTGTGACTCTGAAGGTGGTGCAAGATGTCCTCAACTCTGCTTCTGTCATGTCAACATAAAACAGTACCTTGAGTGCTGACCCCACAGGTGCAGGGAGAGTTCAGACTTATGGCATTTAGGTCTCGGACTTGCAAATCCGTATGGTACATGCGCCACACAGTTGCGGTGCTTGTTGTCTTGGGCTTAGGGTACCCGCGGGCAATTTGTCTGAGAAAGGTGGTCAAGTTTCCTAACTAGGTGAGACATGGTTGTCCATGTTCGGACATTGCGCTCAATGTTTCAAAAAACCGGACATATTTTTTTTGGTACCTGTATGTTGAGGATTGTAGTCTTCTCACGTGTCAATGAGGGGGTCCTCGTTTTCTGGAAACTCTGCACGCAGAAGCACTTCTTGAGCATTTCGAGGGTTTGAGGTTCAGAGTGTTTTGAAGTGCGAATTCCACATAAGTTTTGGTTCCTTTTGGGGGGTAATGATAGTGAGGAGCTTATTGCTTTGATTTCATACAATGAGACAGTTGCTCCTCAACGTACCTGGTTTTTGTGTTCAGGGAAGATTTTTGATAAAGTTATTTGATACAGTAGTTCCGTACGCCTTCTGGGGAGATGTTGAGCTCTTGCTTGCAAACTAACAACAGGGGAACGTAGCAGCCCCTCAGAACGTAGCAATTTCCCCTATAGTTTTTTCCTGCATAAGACCCTCAACAACCCCAACCCCAGACCAAGACATCCAAAACGGGAAGCCCTGAGCGTGGTAGACTCCCGTAGCTGATGCTGGCACAGAAAAGGTGCAAGGGGTATTTACAAATCACGCCCGAAATCCTAAACCCCAAACCTGGGTCGCCAGGATGTGGTTGCTGGCATCCGCACGCCCCAAGACCTCACTGTCAAGGCCGAATAAGACCTTTGCGTTTGGGGTTTTGAGCTGGGATCCATGTGTAGCGCAAACCCCCAACTTCCAAAAACTGTTTCTATAGAGCGCCATTCCAATGCTACCAAAATCCTTCCTCCATGTTCCCCATGCTGTCCTAGCACGAGGCCCGCAAGTCCCACGGCAGTGACTGGACAGACTTAGCTACCTGGTGCTTCGGAAGGAATGGGGAATGGATCTAACAGGCCACAAAGAACCCATCCCTCAATTCCTTACAAAGCGCCATTGACATATAGATGAGGCTTGCCTCTGGGGTGTGTTAAGCGATGCTGCAGCAGTTATTCAGGCATTTGGTGGTGTTGTAAGTTGTATATGCTGTATATAATACACACATGCATATGTGTGTGTGTGTGTATGTGTGTTGACTTCTAGACCCTATATGGCCTAAGCATACATGCAAGTTGATGTAGTGATTACATGGAGATCTGGAAGGGTGGATTGCTTTTGAAAGGTTTCCATTCTTTGGCTGAGGATTCCATATTTAGAAGCTTTATCGGGTTCTGAAGTTTTTCTGGGACTCATTATGGATTGTATATGGGCATCTACAGGGCCAAGGGACACCTCCACCCCAAATCTTCATAATTCTCTGCATCTCCTCTACAGCCAGTGGAGGGAAGTCTAACATTTACAATCAAGGCTCCAAACAGGGAAGACCCTCTAAGAACCCACGAGTTCCCGGATGATCCCTCCCCCCTTTAGTGGGGCATAAAACCCCCCCCTTTCAGTACCCGATCCCGAAATCTTGAACTTTGAGCCCCAAAGCCCGAAGACCTCAAAATCATACATCGAGCCAAGGTGATTTGCCTTCACTTGAAGAGGTCGGAGTTTGTCAAAAGACTCCGTAGTCAATCCCCAACCAGGACCCCCGCAAGTCATCACACATCACTGGCATGTGGTTTCGATAAAGGTGAGCGCCTTCCCCGTCCAAACATGGAACACCGCATAATAGGCCCTTCGTGTACAGGACAGAAGTGTGAGGTTCCATGTTGGTCTAGGCTAGTGTGTTTCCCGAAGCTTTACGAGTTTGCTTGGGGTTTTCTTTCCTTTGCCAACTCCCGAAAGTTCCTTAACCACTACAGTCACTGCATCCTAAATCCTACAGAGTTTATGCAGATTTGAAGGTTTGGGTATGGCGCTCCGAGTCCCAATCCCATAGTCATATTGTGTCATGCGTAGAAGACTTTCTCAGAGGGATTCAGGAATTGGGGTTGGTTGAGCCCTCGGCTGAGCCCTCAATTGGGAGTTTATCACAAGATTCCCTAACCATCACGAAGGAGAGATTCCCCTGGCTTTGAGATTCTTACAACTCGAGGTCATGCCGAAAATCTTTCGGGAGTTGGACATTATTCGACATGAGCTTGAGGAGCACTACAAGGACGGCTCGATGGGTTTTGGAGATATGTAGGAAGCATACAAGTACTACGCATGGACTAGGCATTCGTTTTCTTAGTTTATGGGTTGCGGCTGCAAGATTTGAATGTTTTCGATCTTATGGTCCCTTTTCCTAACAGGTCCCACACTTTTGAGATGTGTCATTATCTTTCTTATTGGGTTTTTTTGCTTCAGGACATGCAGGACATTGAGTTCACTATCGAGCAGGGCAAGCTGTACATGCTGCAGACTCGCACGGGCAAGCGCACGGCCCATGCCGCCCTGCAGATTGCTGTGGACATGGTGGAGGAGATTCAGGGGGTCTTGAAAGTTCTGGGATGTCTGGAATGGATTAGGGGAATATGTTAGGCTGTTTCAGTTTAGACTCAAGGGTTTAGGGTCTTGGCTTTTCTCAGAATCGTGAGTCTTTTTTTGGAAATCCGGAAGGACCATCAGACCAGGACTGAAGTAACAGAGGAAAACTGAACGGTTTTCCTGCTTTTGGAACGGAGTTGCAGAACGATCAGCGCGTGTGCATGATGTACCCAAAAGCAGTCAGTCACCATGTTGTGCATTAAAACGCGTAAGCTGTCGCTGAGAAGGTTGTCCAGCCATCTTCACAGCTCCTGGGATCAACCTACCCAAACCGAGAGTGACCTGGGCTACTTACAAAAACTGCAAGAACCACGGAGACTTGACCAAAATTATGCAATGAATCCCGCTCCTCATTTTGGGGCTACCGACTGAACTCGGCGGCAAATACTTGCACTCGGGATGGACATGCTCCACTGAAAATCTCCCTTAAGTCCGCCAGAAAGCTTAGCGCAGCACGCTTCATATCAGGCTCCAATGCCACCATGCCTAACTGGTTCTGGATGTCATCGCTGAGCTGACTACGCAAAATGCCCAGGAGCGACTCCAAGCAGGCGCCACGACGATCATTCCAACCGTCCTATGCAGCGTTTGCCACCAGCGTATACACGATGCAGCATGCTGCGAGGGAGACATTTATACACAAAGTATCAAGAAGACTCCTCGACCCCAAGCCTCCAAGATCACATCAATCAATCCCAATTATCCAATCTCAAGTTCAACAATCCCAAACTCCAAGAAGCCGCAAATTCTTGACTTCCTGGGCCGGCCATGCTCAGTATGGAAGGCTTGGCCCTCTCGCAAAGCAGCGTTGACGGAGTGTGTCACGCAGCAACCGCTCGAGTTTTTCTCGAAACTCCAGGGTTGTCCGCCTTGGGCTGCGCCCATGTTTTTGAAGCAGACGCAACCTTGCGAGCCAATGTATCACCTCTTGCCCAATGGACTTTGCGTCTAAGCAAGCTGCCATGCTCACCATAAAATGCTCGCAAAGATTTTGCAACCGGCACCCTCCCAGGCACCGCAGGGTCCTTGCCGCCAGCGCCGCCGTCCCTTTCAACAGCATCGCCGCCCGCTTTCACGCAGCAACTTCAGTAGCCTAGTTCTGCGGGAAATGTTCTTCACAGGCGACCTTGATGTCTTTGAGCTGACACTTGCTTTCCTGGCTAGCATACCCTGGGACGAACATCTTCCCTTCTAGGCCCCCATTTTGGCAACAAGCTTTCGAAGAGAAGCGAGAAGCCAGAACAGACGAAGGCACTGCTGCCTTCACAGCCTTGACGAGAAACACAGGCGTACTGTGCACAGCTAGTAACTGGTACATGTAGATCTTTACACTACAGCAATGCGAAGAATGCGCGATGCCTTCCTCGGAGAAGTTTTCACAAAATCTTTTGATTTCGCCAAGCACATTCGGAGACTTTGGATAAAATCCTAGACATTCGAAGCTCACGTCACTGAAACTCTCACAGAATCCTGTGAATACATTATGCGCAGCTCGGATAGAATCCTTGACTTTCGAACCTTGCCTCGCTCAGGGTCATATCTTGGATCCTGCAAGATTGGTACGCAAGCGCCGGCTAGTCGCACAGATGCTGTCAAGAGTGTCACGAATGGCCAAACACTCGGTATCAAGCAACAAAACGTTAACCCACCATGCCAAGCAAAATGCATGCGGCAGCCTGCCTGCGGAGAAGACGTGGCTCCAAACCCGACGACAGTTAAACGAGGATGACGACCCCGACACGTCTCATCCCTGTGAGCATTGACACGGGACGAGAAGGCGAGGTTCAAAAAGCAACGACACTAAAGAGGATGGCCATCCGAACACGTCCGGTCCTTGTGGCTGTTGGCACTTTTGACATGTGAGTGTCCAAGCGTGACCACTCTTACAGGGATCACGATCCCCGAGGTCTGACATGCAGGGGTCCAACGCTCCTGCGACACTCCCCACTCCCGCGACATGCGTTTTCTTCGCGGGCACTTTGTGGACGCTGCGCGAACGCAGTACTTGCTAATGGTTCTATCGGTTGGCAAGTTGACCCTCGCAAATACATCAGTTTACCCCATTTGATCCTCACATGGTCCCCTCTAACCGCTAATGTCACCTGACATGATCTCTGTGTAGTTGCTTCGGTAATTACCCTTACCCACAGCCGTCCCTGTCCGTAGTGCCACGCATGAGCTTCCTCAAACCTTACGCCCTTAAGCCCGGTAGACCAGAACCCTGAACCCTCTTATCGACGCAGGAGGGACTGATCTCAAAGGCGCAGGCATTGATGAGGCTCAAGCCCGACCTCATCGACCAGCTACTGCACCCGACCTTGGACCCGAAGGCAATGGGATCTGAGGGTTGAGGACCCTACGGCCGTGGTCTTACTACAGGCCTCCCCATTCCTTAGTGATGGCTATTGGGGGTTCTTCAGGCTTAATTGTGCGCATGAGTGCTTATATGAGGCCACACTAGGCCATATTAATCGGAGCTAGCCCAACAACAAGGCCCGGGGTCTGGTTGTGGCTTATTGTAACTGGATTTAGGGACTCTTGTTGAGCTTTATGGGTGGTTAGGGTAGCGGGGTTAGGCTGTAGCAGGCTTAGAGAAAGATGGGATGCGTGGTCTTCGGTCATGAATTCTCATAAGGAGTTTCTCAAAGTTGGGGTACTTTGGGGATATGAGGGCTTATGTGGAGGTTGCAGGCAGATGATAAAAAGGGTCCCTATAAAGGATTAAATGACGATGTTTTGGGTTAAGAGAGCCCCAGAATTATGGCTTTGACATTCATAGGCTGTCTCTTGAACTTGACAAAAAGCAGGCTGAGAAGAAGGTCATTGCCAAGGGCCTCCCAGCTTCTCCTGGGGCAGCTGCAGGCAAGGCGGTTTTCCTTCTGTCCCCACTGTCACGGAATCCACTTAATCAAGGGATTCGCAGCGATCATGCAGGGGGATGTGGGACTTCCCCTGCCCAACAAACATGGAACTTGAACCTCATTTTGGAAAACAAGAACCCCAAAAGCTTCAGCGCTAAACTTCAACTTTGATACAGCTTAACCCCAAACCCCAAGGCCTCAACGCTAAATCCTGCCCAACAAGCCCCACAGGTAAAGTGGTCTTCTCAGCAGACAAGGCAGTCGAACGCTCTGCCAACGGCGAGAAGGTTATCCTAGTGCGAATCGAGACGAGTCCCGACGACATCCATGGTCTTCACGCTGCAGAAGGCGCACTGCCTGCTTTTCTAAATCCTGAAGTGCCTGTGCGAAACACACTGGGGCAGGGCTTGGCCCTGAGCTGAAACATGGCAAGTTGGAGATTCCATCTTGCCACTTCGGCAAGATGGGATCCAGAGAGTGGAAAAGAATCAGAACAAATGTGCAGCAATCTAATTCCATGAGAGCTCCAAAGCCTCCAAAGCTTCAAGCCTATCCCCTAAACCTTGCGTCCCTAAACGCCTCAATCCCAAAAACTTTCGTCAGAGCCTGACAGGAGTGCTTACTTCCCGCGGGGGCATGACGAGCCACGCGGCGGTGGTGGCCCGAGGTATGGGCCGGCCGTGCGTGGCCGGGGCCGGGGACGTGAAGGTAAGGAGCTGAAATCATTTTCATGTTTGAGGGATCACGTTTAAGGGCCTAAGAGTATAGTTTACTTGTTTATGGAGATGAGGGCTTAGGGGTTAGGGTTTTGGGGTATTTGGCCTAGGGTCAGCAGGTTTCCTTGAGCTACTATAGCGGCATCCCCTAAGCTTTCAATCCTGAACCCCAACACGAGACCCCGTTGAACCTGGCGGAGGTGAGCTACGAGTGGTCCCTGCTAGAGGTGGGCAACATCATCGTGCGCGAGGGTGAGGTTCTGACCATTGATGGCGTTACAGGACAAACTGGGAGTATCCTATTGTAACTTCTGTTCTTTGCAGGGCCCTTTAGATGGCTTGAGGGATATACATGCAGGGTCTAGTGCTGCGGGGTTGGAGCTTCTTTTCGAACATGGAGGGCTGGCCTGGCAGGGGCCTGGCGATGTAAGGGGTTCCATATGGATAATGGTTGGGTCGTCAGTAAGGAGTCTGTTGGGAGACTTTTGAGACACTCCCGCATTGTAGCCACAGTACTGAACAGGATGACTTGATCTTGCCCTTGTAATTTCCCGAGCAGCAACAGCAGTGTCATGAATCAATGAAGTTCAGTCCTGTGTTATGACCACTGGTTGTGGCGTGATTGCAGCTAGCTCCCTACGCCTTCAATCCCAAACCCAACACCCCGAACCTGAATACCCAAACCTTCAAAGTGCCTTGACAGGACAGATCATGCTCGGAGAGGTCCCAACAGCTCCACCGCAGCTCTCAGGCCACAAAAGGAAAAAGCTAAGTCTGCTCTCATCCTTTAATGCTGGTGATCGGGAGGAAATCTTGTTCTCCCAGTAGCATAAATCCTTAGAACTACAGTCAGTGATGCAAACTTTCTTACGTCAACAGTGAGTTACTTGTAATCCTTCCCCCCTACGCGAAACTCAACATGTGGTACAAGAGATCCTAGGTCCTAGATATTGGTGGCATATTTATATTCAACATCAGGGTGAGGGTACTTGAGGTTGCCCATAGAACGCTCGAATTCGAAGATCCCAATGTTAAAGTCGCTCCATGTTTTTTCCAACAGCTGCATGATAGGCGCCTTTGGTACGATCATGAAGTGGACGGACACCTTCCGCACCATGCAGGCCAGTGAAAGTGTTGAGGGGAACCGGGCCCCAGACCCTAAAACTGTTTAAGGTTTAGCGCTCAGGGTAGCTGAAATGAAGTTCGTCTTGGACGGATGCATCCACACTGTGTGGTCATCTTTTTGGGCTAATTCGACACAAAGGCGTCTTTAATTTTGAGGGGATGTGTTGAGGAACCCAATTGTTGAGAAATACCAGAGCCCAAAGCCGCTGTGTGCACTTTCCCCGAGCTCTGAACCCTGTTTTCTATACCCCAGGACCCAGTCTTACGTGCTGGTGGTTTGTTTTTAGGGAATGAAGGAATTCGCTAGCAACAGGATCAGTGGCTTGGTTCCCTACTAGCCGCCAGCTAGCCTAAGAAAGGCCCTTTCCCAGGTCCGAGCCAACGCTGACACACCTGCAGATGCCCGTCAAGCCAAGGTGGGAGTTTCCTTTGGTTTGCAAGTTTTAGCGTCTATGGGTGCAGCGTTTAGAGTGTGAGTGTTTGAGGTTCAGGGTGTAGAGCTGCATGCGTTCTGCACGCGGGGTTTCGGGCTCAGGGTGACGCAGCAGTAAAGGAATGATCCGAAATGCTAAAATCCCCAGCCGTACGCCTTGAAGGACAGCTTTAAACGCTGTTGAGTTGTAAGGTTGGCACCAGCCAGAGGCCACTTCATAAATTCCCAGGTCTTCGGATCTGACGGAATTGGCCTGGTGCGCACTGAGCACATGTTCTTCGAGGCAACCGTGGCGTGAGGGTTTCGGGTTCAAACAGGTCTGCAGGGTTAAGTAATAGCCACGCGAAGGTGTGTAAGATCTATACCAAGCTTACAAGGTGCAAGATCTCACAGAAACCCTGTGGGAGTATTAATGGTTTGAGGCCTGAAGATCCTTGAGTTTCAAGATGATGGCTAAGAAAGCTAGCTGTTTCCAATAATTCAGAGTCCCCTTTTTGCAGACAGACTCCCTGTAAAGTGTAAAAAAGGATTACCATTTTTCACAAGGGAAGCCCACAAGAAGCTTTGTTTATGACTTCTATTACTGTTATTGTCATTCCTACTTTTTTTCTCCTCTTCACGACCACCTCTCCTGCCTGCTGCCAACTGCCCATGAGCCTACGATTCCATCTTAGACCCGAACCCTTCTCCTAAGTGCGCAAAAAGGGCTCCCTTTACGGGTGCCCTCTATCACTCCTGATAACCTGATATTGCATTCCTTCATTCCCTACTATCCACCAGTAAGTTCAGGGCGACCGGATCGTAGCCATGCGGCAGATGATCTTGGCGGCTGACCGCACAGAGCGGCAGGCTCCTAGACGAACATCCGAGAAAGCTTACTGGTTTGGTCGTTTAGGGCTTAGGGCGTTCAGGTCTCATTTCAGTGTATGCTCCCTTGTCAGTCTTCTTCTATCGGAAAAACCCGGTTTCAGCCACCAGGCCCTCGAATCAGCCACCAAAAGGCCCGAATCAGCCACCAGGGAAGCCGAATCAGCCACCAGGAAGCCCGAATCAGCCACCAGG